ACGAGAAAAAACGAAAAAAAAAAAATGAGAGAGAAACACGGTCGATCGAATATGTTGAATCTGTTCGGTAACAAGATGATGATGGAAAACGGCGAGAGTGTGCATGAAGGATCAAGCAGATCCAGGATGGAGCAACTGGCACTGCGGGTCCTCGTCGAGGACAAGCAGGAAGTCTCGAGAGGGACGCTTCCGTCCGCGATGGCCTCGATCACAATGGTGCGTGAGAGGGATAAAGGGGTGTTAGATAGTGTGCCAATGAACGTTTTCACAAAACATGATCTTAAAGTATCGCTTCCTTCCGTTTTCCTATGTTTCACCGTAACGATTTCCGTTTCGCCTCTCTGTGCCGAAGAGAGACTGAAATTTCGCCATCTTTTATTTCGCCGTTTCGCTCGTTTCGTACTAGTGAAGCTATTTCATTTCCGTACCACGTGATCTCTTCCAACGAGATGAAAAAAAAAAAACGTATCGAGTGAAGTAGGAAAGAAGATAAGAGATAAAAAGAAAAAAGAACATTTAACATCAGCATCGTACGACAATAACTTGAATTCTTCTCAGATTCAGAGTGTCTGCTGCGAAAATTCTCAGGTGAACAGCGCGATATCAAAGATTGACCGAGGGTTGCGAGCCTAGTAGGAGGATGATAAAGCGAAATGGATGTGAAAGAAGGATAGAAAAGCGGCGAGTAGAAGAGAGACTAGGTCTAGTTGGGGAAGCTCGTATTGATCGTTTCTGGGTCCATGTGACGCGCCTGCGTTTTGCCGTGGGGTAAAATCGTAGCGAGGGTAAACTATATGGGAAGGAGGGTGGAAGAGTGAGAAGCAGAGAGAGAGAGAGAGGAGGGGAGGGGGAGAAAGAGAGAGAGAAAGCCGCGCCGGGGTTCATATACCCCCAGGGCAACTGCAACGTTCCACCGTGCCACCGACCAATCAATGGAGCTTCTCTACCTCTCTGTCTCACCTTGTTTCTCCCGTCTCCTCTCCCTCCGTCCATTCGTCATTCTTTTTCTCTCGATTTTCCTCCGTTCCATCCGCGACTCTTCGTCCATCATACGTAATATGATTGCACCGTACGCGCGCACACACGCGTCATCCCCCTCCCGAGATTTATACGGTATTAACGTTGACAACGGCGAGCATCCTGGCCGACGCCACCCCTGCGGATGCGTGTACCCACGTACCGGCAATCTATCGAAACTTCGTTCGAGTTTAAAGAGAGCCGTGCTAATCCTTCTAACGAGTTATCGAGGATGAAAACAATGGGAAGATGGAGAGCGGAGGTAATCGTCGTGGATCTCCCGAGTTTAACTTCGTTTCAAGTCTTCGTGAGGTGCCGTGAAAATTCTGTCTTGTCTCTTGTTTGATGTCGCTTGTTTCCATCTTCGAAACGGAGCCTCGGGATTTCATTAGCCACCATCGTTTCATTTCCGTTCCTCTGTTAGTATAACATCGACGACGTACAAATTGGTGACGTAGGCAGGCGTAGTTTTCTCCTCCTTCCTTTGATCAGCACGACGTTGTTCCATCGTAGGCGAAAAATATTCCTCGATCATCCGGCTATGAACGCTGCTTTTCCTCTTCACGAGCATTTGTTTTCGTTATGTAATCACTTTTTGCGGACTTCGAGGATAGTCGTAGGGTTTCCCTGGATACTCGGTGATACGATCATTGCCTCGTGAGAGAGAAGCGATCACGGATCGGTGCACACAATTGCGTGGATACGACGACGACCGGGAGGAGAAGCAAGGCTGACGCGCTGCCACAGGGAAGAACGGATCGATCGATCGCACCTTAATTAGCACGGCGATTACATGCCCGCTTGATCGATTCGACCACATTCGGTCTCTCTGTTTCCCTGGGTGGGGCCGCTTCGTGCATATGCTCGTTAAAATTGTCATCCCTCTTCTATCGTTTCGAACGATAATACCAACGTTCGACCCTCTGACGCGGAATATATATCCATCGACTATGCCAAAGGTGAAACGTTCTCCTGCTCGTACGGAATTATTTATACGTCCCTCGTAATTATTTATCCCCCTCGTATATTTAACTTTGTATTTAGGGAACTATTTTTGCCAACATTTAACGTTTCGCTCTTTGTAACGGATTGGCCTCGCAGGTTGGCTCGAATTGTGTTTTCGTCACGTCTCCAACTATTCGAGTTGAATTCGTAAGGACGCCTATAGGTCGAGGAATAGAAAGTTAGTGGATTATCGACGAATCTCACTGGGGGTTCAGTGACCCTGGAGAAACTTCATGGACGGAATTATTGCTACCGTGGTTGGCGGAGCTGCGTGGAATTATAACCGTGCACGGTCGTGTCAGCGGATCGATGACGAAGGTGGGGTGGGGCCAAACCCCAAAAACGTCGCTTCGACAGCTGGAACGAAGAAAAAAAGAGGGTTGTTCGATTCACGTTTGTCAATCGCGAATGATTCACGATCTATCTGTGCCTTCATCGTTTTAATTTTCCACACAGGAGGATAGTAAATTTCCCTTGCTGCACGCTTTGCGTTCGCTACACGCTCTTTTCTTTGAAAATGTTCGAGAAAGTAGACCAGTCGACCCGAGTCGAAATTATCGAAATTTCATATACGAACGAACGGGAAAAGACTCTCGATACATGCACGAGGGCAAATTTCCCTCTCGGTTCGACGGTCAGAATATTGTTTCGCCGTTCGTTGTCGCTAAGGCGATCAGAGGCCGGCAAACTTTCATAATTCCAACGGTAATGCGGTGACAACTTCCTGTCGCACCGTGTGGCCGGTTTTAAAGCCACCGAGCATAATGGAACACGTTCGCATATGCGTCCACTACGTGTCCCTATTTTTTCTCTCTCTTTTTTTTTTTTTTACATACTGTTTCGCATCTGTTGCAAGTCCTGTGCCCCGGTCCCAGTTCCGTTCCCTTTTTTCTCATGCGGCTAAACAATAGCGACTTGCTCCCTCCTTCTCTATCTTTCGTTAACGTTAGGTCATGTACGTAATATGCAAAGAACCTGGTCAATCGTTCGTGCCTAACGAAAGCAGGAAGTCAATCGAAAAGATCGTTTCTTTGATTCTGAAGATTAAAGGGGTACGAGGAGCGGTTAGAATGAAAAGGTCGGTGAAGTTCTGGTCTTATAAAACTAGACGTAAGATACAAGTTGCAAAAGGAGAATGGTTTTGGCTACTCTTAATTAGATCGAAAAATCGAAGTTATATCGATGATCAATTTATCAACACGCGACGAAAGATTAAAACATGCTAATTCCATGTATTTCCATCGCGTATATATTTATCACGTTTGTGACGTAGATGTATTTCTAATTTGTGACGTGTTGTGCGATCAATTACTCTTGCATTCGGAGCATTCAACGAGCATTAACATAACTCGAATTCCTCCGAGTGGATTCGGTTTCCAATCGACTGCAAAGTGCAGTGGCCTCTTGGACTTTTATAGAAAGAACTTCGAGCAATTACAAATTCTTCGCGTGCCACGCTGTGTAAGTTTCGATCGCGTGATAATTTTAAAGATGATTTCAAGGCGGGCAGATTCATACGTCGCACAGATTTCGCTCGTCCAGGAAGTTCCCGCAAAATAGTTTGAGTCCGTTTCGCGCGATGACGTAATAGAACGGAAACGAAATTCTGAAAACACGAACCCGCGCGGTTATTGGCACGACCGCCAAGTGTTGCTCGGGCTTGCTTGTTCCGTCAGCGCCGCATAATTTTGGCCCACTGTCATTTTCGAGACTGGCCTCTCCACGATCTTCGCGAGATAAAGCCAGGGTAAGGTCAGGGATTCTTCTTCGCTGCTCTCCCACTCGTTCGTGGCCACTCGGTCGCACGAAATTGAGAAATTGTTCGTAGTGCAGAAGGAACGGCAACAATATCAGAAATAAGTAAAACTTTAAATAGATCGAGCAGAAAGCGTATATATAAGAAATGACGATCGATGAATCGAAGGAAAGCGATTGGAGTGGGATAATCGGGCAGAAGGTTTCACGAGTACGTCGACTTTATCCTTGAGATTCTTCATCTCGTCTTCACTTTGACAAAGTTGCGGTGTTCCCTTCTTTTTTTTCTTTTTCTTTTGGTTTTTTTTTTTTTTTTTT